TATAATGGGAACTTAATAACAAATATACTAGAACTTTCTATATTAACACGAGTCTTCACCCTTTCAAAACAGTCACCCTGGAGACCTGTATACTTATTCCAGTGTTGCAGACCTTGTTCTAAAGACGTGCTTCAGAAATGTTTCATAAAAGGTTTGTATGCCTTTTATCTCATAAAGGTAAAAACAGAAACAAACCAGAATAAATACTACCATGCCTTTCATTGGAAATCAAATTTTGGTTTAATAAATTGAATTTCCAATCATGAGATTTTCTGTTATGTCTCAGTATTTGTGACCCTTTCTGGTAGTTTTATTTAGACTCTTGCAGAAAATCTTTCACATAAACCACAGTCTTAAGTTATTCCAATCACAAAAGAAAAAGTATAATGCTTTTATTACCTCTAATTATCCTGTAACTCCTAAGTCCTTTTGCTGGTTTCAGTGGACAGGCTTCCTCATTGGGACAGAAAAATAGGTAGCAGTTGGGTCGTCTGGCTATTTTTCGAGTGTCGAAGATCATCAAGTTACATGCTTTGTCCCCTGCAATGAAAGGTTTCATATTCATGATTTTGAAATGAGATTTTCTAAAGAGTAGGGCAAGCAGGAAAAGCTTCACTTATTATGGAGTCCAACACAAACACCTTTGTTCATTTTGTTCACTTGTTTGCTGACCGCTGAATCATTTCCTTTTCCTTAGTTTAGTCGCTTAAGGCAATTTTAAAAGACATTGGGTTTAGCTTTTTTTTCCATAAGATGGCACCGAAGGCGAAGAAGGAAGCTCCTGTCCCTCCTAAAGTCCAAGTCAAAGCAAAGTCTTTAAAGGCCAAGAAGGCAGGGTTGAAAGGTGTCCACAATCACACACACACACACACACACACACACACACACACACACCCCTGCATATCACTCACCTCCAGCAGCCCAAGACACTGTGGCTCCAGAGGTAGCCCAAATATCCTGGGAAGAGTGCTCCCACAAGCTTGACCACTCTGCCATCATCAAGCCCTGACTACTGATGTGCTATGAAGATAGAAGACAACCACACACTGGTGTTCACTGTGGATGCCAGGGCCAGCATTCTAGCACCAAACATCTGACACTCATGTGGCCAAGGTCACACCCTGAGCAGGCCTGATGGAGAGAAGGAGGCATGTGCTCCGCTGGCCCCTGCCTGCAATGCTTTACATGTTGCTTACAAAACTGGGATTTATTTTTATTTGTATTTTTATTTTGAGATAACGTCTTGCTCTGTCACTCAGGCTGAAGTGCAAGTGCAGTGGCATGATCTCAGCTCACTGCAACCTCCACCTCCCAGGTTCAAGAGCTCCTCCCACCTCAGCCTCCCGAGTAACTGGGACCACAGATGCAAGCCACTACACCCGGATTTTTTTGTATTTTTTGTAGAGATGGAGTCTCTCTATGTTGCGCAGGCTAGTCTTGAACTCCTGGGCTCCAGCTGTTTGCCCTTGTTGGCCTCCCAAAGTGCTGGGATTACAGGTGTAAGCCACCGCACCTGGCCATCTCTTGGATTCTGAAAGCATCTCAGATGCCTAATAAAGTCATGAGTGGAGTCAGTAAATTATTATCGCTATCATGGCTCCTTCCACACAGGATCTGAGTAGTATATGGAATACAATCTATCCTTTAATTTTTATCTGTACCATTCTTTGTGTTTTTCTTCCACTTTCTCCTTTCTCCTTGTCATGTTTGCTTTTCTATGCTCCTTCCTTCCTCACTTTTCACTCTTAATTATAATTTCTGGTCTCTTTTCTTTTCTGAGTCAGGGTCTTGCTCTGTCATCCAAGCTGCAGTGCAGTGAAACAATCACGGAACACTTCAGCCTTGACCTCCTGGGCTCAAACAATCCTCCCACCTCAGCCTCCCCCGTAGCTGGGACTACAAGCGTGCACCACCATGCCTGGCTAATTTTTTGTTCTTTGTAGAGGCGGGGTCTCACTACGTTGCCTAGGCTGGGTCCCTCCCCCTCAACCTCCCAAAGTACTGGGATTACAGGCATGAGCTACTGCACCTAGCCGCTGGCTTCTTTTTCTGTTCCTTTTGTGTCCAACAGAAATGAAACTCTCGATTTATCATGGCCTAGATTAGATTTTGTCCTCCATTTGGTACAGTCTCACACCTTTGGGAGGTCAGCATATCCCTGGTCAGGTTAAAGGTTAAGAGGCACATAGGCTAACTGTTAAAAACACACGCTCTGTCGACCATCACCACCACTGGTGCTAGTCAGGTAATGGTGAGAGATCGACTCCAACTCCCCAGATGGGAAGGAAGATTTAGTTAGCCTCTGCAGGAATTTTATCATGTCATATCCCCGTTACTCGGAAAATAACAGGAGTACTCCTGCCTTTTCTTTCTCAACAATGTGATACCAGAAATACCTTTCTTTTTAGCACTTAGGTAAAGGGGAGGGTCCATAAGCCTCAAAATTGTATGCAAGATATTGTGGCCATCGTGTTATGTGTATTTTTCTAGAGTATCATCAAGCTATCATAGTGCCTTTTGAACCCTCAGTGGTGAAACCATTTCTCAGTAAGTGAGGAAAATGTTTGAGATCCATTAACTGAGGTCCCAAGTACCTCTGCTTGTAGCAAAGCAGTAATAGGACTTCGGCTTATAGAATAAAACAGCAAACCCTCATTTCTTAGAATTGAGGAGAAATGCAGGGCTTTGCTGATGCCTGTAAATACCCACACTTACAGTATTCAGTCCTGCTTGCAGGTGATCTTTCTATTTCACATACATGTCGATGTCAACATTTAAAGAAAAACTCGAAATGTAAATTAAACCTCTGCCATTTCCGTAAATTACTTGCACAAAGTGTTCCAAAACGCACTGCTCAATGAGACCATCGAAGGGATTTTTCCTCCTGACACCAAGTATACGGTGTCTTCTCCACACCATTTTGCAGCAATAACCACCT